GTAATAGACATAAATGTGAAAATTTTATTTTCAATGCAGTGAGGAGGCTACCACAAATAACCACAGAGCCTGCTGGCACGAGGCACTCGAAACTCAAAAACAAAGCACTACCTAGCAGCTTGACCACAATCTTACAATCCAACCGCATATCTAGACTTTCTGTTCACCACTTATGAAGCACTGTTTTTCAGTAACTGCAGAAGAACAGACTGAACTGGGGCCAGATGGCTCGAAATCAAAGGCAAATAACCCACAGAGCAGATCTGTCCTATATCGAGACGGCTGCTGCCACCTTCAGGTTTACAAATGACATGGAGAAACGTTTCATGTCTTTTTACCATTCAAATGGACTAAGAAATGAATCAGCGAGTTATAATGCGGATCATGCAACAAAAAAGCTTAAGCAATTATTCGAAGGCAAAACAGAAATCCGTTTTAATGCAGTAATACACAATAGGTTTCATCACCCAAAGAGTGACCTGAGATGAGTCACGCATACTTCAAATGCGATGCAATGCATGCATTATCTAAAAAAAGTGTCATGCTGAGGGAAGGGTGAGCACACCCTGAGGCATGCCCAAGCATCACCCGATTAGTAACCGTTCAGTCCTTCACTGTAATGAGCTTATATAAACCTTATATATCTTTGCATTCTGTATACATTCAGGGATAGTTAGTTTCTGTTTCCCTCTACGATACAATCTAAAAAAAAAAAAACATTTTAAATGAAAAGTCCACACCACAGCTATAACGATAACGACACAGAAGAACAATATTGGAATCAATTTCAGAACGATTTTTTCAAGCTGAAAAATTGACAGACAATTGGAATCAATCCTGGTTTAAAAAGCTCAAGCATTTAAAGCGGCAGACAACAAAACTGCAATGCATGCTTAACATAAACAGAACATTATCATGTGTTGGTGTGGACAGAAATTTAATCAGCGTTATACTTCTCATTCGTGGTGTTAACGTGCCTTATGCCATTAGCTATGTTCCCATCACCGTTTTTATGCGCATTTTAAAGTATCGCATCAGAAACGAGTGAAAGATATGCCAAATTTCAGGGAAAAATTCCCTTAGTTCATAAAAAATTTTTTTACGCTTGCTTGAGGTAGTTTTTGTGCAAAA